AGCTTTTCTGGGGTTAAAAAGTCATCTTATACACAGGAAAATACGGTACATTATGGTTACTTGTACACAGATGTCCAGAAACTCATGAATAAATACTCAATTATATCCATTATATGTGCAAACACTTATAAACCTGGATGGAGACACAAGCACCTGGAAAAAGCTTGTATCTCTGGCTCCTAATTAACTCTAACTCTTAACCAGGTGTCATGTTACTACCGAGAAACATGAAACTAGATGGTCTCAGGAGTATGTAGCGGTATTGACATAGGTTTGAGGTATAAGGTATTAGGAGTAATGTTTAGTTTTATTATATTAAGAATAATGTACTCAGTATGATGGAAATGTTTGATAGGTGATGGTGATGTATGCATATATGATTATAATAATAGATGGATAATAATAAATATTTTTTTAAAAGTAGCTGAAGCCAACTGATAATTATTATCCAATTTCGCTCTCACTCACATTTTTAAAGCAAAAATTAATCCAGATTTTCCAGATAGCAGAGGGAAATCACTATTCTAGATTGCAGAGAGATTTTTATTCCAGATCAAGAAGAGAGAGAAATTTTTATTTAGGAGTAATAATGATACTACTCTAACCCAGGACCTTCTGTCCTCCTTCTGTGATAAGAATCAAAGTTGTTATTTGTCTGGTCATTTTAAAGCTCAGGAAAATCCCTGTTGTGGTCTAAACTGTCAGCATTCTCTAGTCAATATGGTCAGTGGAAGGATCTAAATCCCAAAAGGTAATTTAAAGCCCTGCTTCTTTCCCTTCTTTCCCCCTTACATTTCTTCTCAATCCTGTGTTTCTTATGTTTAATTTTGTTTGATACACTAGCCATGTAATCAACAACAACCTTTCCTAACTTCTGCCTGTCTTCTCTGAGTACCCTACCCTGCCCTCCAGCATGTATTTCTTGGCAATATTCAAATACAAGTTGAGTCTCCTTTATCCAGAATTCTGAAATCCAAAATATTCCAAAATTGTCCACATGGGTGGCTAAGATAGTAAAACCTCTGTTTTCTGATTATTCAATGTACACACACTTTTTTCATGCACAACATTATTAAAAATATTGTGTATAAAATTACATTCAAGCTATGTGTAAAAGGTGTATATGAAACATAAATGAATTTCTTGTTAGATCTTGGTCTTATCTCCAACATATCTCATTATTCCACAATTCTAAACACTCCAAAATCCAAAATACTTCTGGTCCCAAGCATTCTGGATATGGGAGACCCAATCTATATAATCATTCCACGTATTCATAAACAACTCCTCTTAACTCATCCCCTTAAAAGTTGTTTTGATGTTTTTCACCTCTTAATTCACCTACGGCCACCACAGAAGTTTAGGCATCCAAGCTTAGGGCTCTAACCAGAAGTACATTCAAACTACAAACCTGTGTTATCAGAAGGGAGTGAGACAGCATCTTGCTCAGTCTGAATCCTTATTCCCTGAATTGCTTTTTAGTGAATCTGTTAGAAATAGTGCAAATTGAGTCCACTTTACTGCCATGGTTGCCTTGACCGACGATCTGCGTCTGAGCATCGACAAG